ACCCCCCCCCCCCCCCCCCCCCGGGGGGACAAAAATGGGGGGGGGGGGGGGTACTGCGGGAGGTCTGGGTAACACCCAGCGATTGATGCAGCCAGAAGAGAGAAGAGGTGCCCCCAGGCCCTCCCCACCTCCCACCGCCTTCTCCAGGACTCTTCTTAGCAACCTTCAAGCTCCCTTGTCCCAAGACCGGTCTCATTTGACGCTGACCCATTCACAAGCATTTATTAAGCGCGGACTAGGTGCCCAGCGCTGGGAAGAGGGCAGACTGCAGGGAGGGTAGGGGGTGCCCCAGCACGGCTGGCTCCTTCCTCACGGGGGCTATTTTGCACCCCCCACCCCTATCCCCTGCCGTGCCTCGAGCCCAGGCTGGGGGAACGGCCCAAGGTCGGGTCCTCGCAGGGTGGATCTCTGCCGAAATCCAGCCTCCACAGAGCCTGGGTCCCCATTGCTGGTGAAGGCGGCATCCTGGTCCTCCCTCCGCCAGCCTCCTAGGCCGAAGTAGAGGGACTGCCGGAAGAGGGCGAAGGTCCAGAAGACTTCTCGGCATCTCTGGAACCTGGAATGTTAAAAGCGGAGAGGGAGGGAGAGAAACACTTAATCGCAGGCGAGGACGAGTCAACGCTCCCCACGCACCTGCGGTTCAACCTCCAGGGCTGCCGGGGCGCTGGCGCCACCTAGGCGCTGCTCCTGAGATAGCAGCCCCGTGACATTCCCGGCCCCGAGCGGGACCCAGAGCTGGAGACAAAGCACAGAAATCCCGACTCCGTCGACCGTGCTGCCCCCTCGTGGCTGCCAGATACCGGGGCCCCCGGATCTGTTATGCCCCTTATACTTGGTGGTGAGGGCCCCCCCGCCCCCTCTACGCCCTGGGAGGCAAGTTTTCCTGCTCCCTCGGACTTAAGGGGTAAAGAGCGAAAAAGTCTGAGGTCACGGTGTTGGTTTTTTTTTTTTTTTTTTTTTTGCGGCTCGCCAGACCGCATCCGAACCCTTGACCCTGGTGCTGTAACACTGCGCTCTAACCAGCTGGGCTAACTGGCTGGCTCTCCCTTCCCCCACCCCCCAACATCTGATGTCTCCCAGTTGGACCTCATCAAACCCCACTCTTCTCTGGAAGCAGCCTTTCATGCTTTTAACAATCGTTCACTGCGTCCGATCCCAGCCACCACCCTCAAGGAGCTCACAGTCTGATGCGGGAGGCGGTGCCCAAACGCGACACCAAAACGGGCTGCGATACCATCACGTCAGACCAGCCTTCTTCTGTTGGCTGACTCACTCGAAGGAATTAAAGTTGCTAGAATGGATTTCTGTTTTTAAACCCCCTAGGAACTGAGATCTTTTGCATCTATAATAATAACCCCTGCAGTTTCAGCCCGAGCCTTGGTCTGGGGAGCTGGCTAGAAATGCAGATACTCGGGGCCGGCCCGTGGCTCACTCGGGAGAGTGTGGTGCTGATAATACCAAGGCCATGGTTTCGGATCCCACATGGGATGGCCGGTTGGCTCACTGGCTGAGCGTGGTGCTGACAACACCAAGCCAAGGGTTAAGATCCCCTTACCGGTCATCTTTTAAAAAAAAAGAAAGAAAAGAAATGCAGATACTCGGGGCCGACCCGTGGCTCACTCGGGAGAGTGTGGTGCTGATAATACCAAGGCCATGGTTTCGGATCCCACATGGGATGGCCGGTTGCCTCACTGGCTGAGCGTGGTGCTGACAACACCAAGCCAAGGGTTAAGATCCCCTTACCGGTCATCTTTTAAAAAAAAAGAAAGAAAAGAAATGCAGATACTCGGACCCCACCCACACCTGGGCGATCCTAATCTGCATTTAATGAACAAGATCCCGTGGTTTTAGGTTGAGGAGAGCCCCACAGGGCCCAGCTCTATCCTAAACTTCAGCCCCAGCTGCCCTCCTGAGCTGATCTGCACACAGCAAATTTAAAACAGGGTGCTGCCGTCCAAACTGCGGCTTCCCCATTGCCTCTCCCTTCTCTCTGCCGTGGTCTAACACGCTCTAAAACGCAGACTTGTTCTCACCCCATCCGTGGCTCCCCAGTGCCCAAGTCCAAACTATTTAAGGGGACCCTCAAGGACCCATAGACCCCTCTGCTGTCCCCGAAATCTGACAACCTCCCCCTTCACCATACAAGCACACACCCTTCCTCACCCCAGACACACTGAACTCCACTAAGTTCCTGAACAAGCCCCAGTGCCTGGGCCACACTCCCCAGCCCTGCAACGAACTGAATTAGGCTCCCGAAGTCACTTCCTCCAGGAAGCCCTCCTGGATCCCTCATCTGGATCAGGTGCTTCTAGACTTCCCCCTTCAGCACCCAGCACACCCTGTGTTTCCACTGTGTGGACTGCTGGCCCAACCCAGCGCCTGGAACGAACAGGCACACCAACTATTTGGTGAATGAGGACACCAGGGTTCAGAGAGGCTGGGCAACTTCTCTCAGGCCACACAGCTTCTTTTTTTTTTTTTTTTTGACCTTTAAGGGGATCGCAATCCTTGGCACGGCACCACACTCAGCCAGTGAGCGCACCGGCCATCCTCATATATGATCCAAACCCGCAGCCTCGGCGCTACCAGCGCTGCACTCTCCCGAGGCCACACAGCTTCTAACTGCCCACCGCTATGCCCCACACCTGGGAAAGGATTGCATTTCCCTCATGAGCCCAGAGAGGGAGAGTGAGTTGCCCAAGATCACACAGCAAGCCTGGCCCCAGCATCCCCACCCTGGCAACACTTCGAGAATGTTGTATAACTTCTACATGGATGGTCACCCCACAACCCTCTGGTTAATCCCACTCCATAGAGGCCCCAATGGGCTCAACCATGAGCCTGGGACAGACCCCTTCCCACAGCAGGTCCCCCCAGCCACCTGCGCAGGCACCTGCTGCTGCGGCTGCTGCTGCTCCTCCTCCCGCTCCTCCTCCTCCTCCTCGGCGGTGGCCCACGTCCTGTGTCCTCGACTTCTCAGGCCGCGCCAGCTTCTTGCCGACCGAGTTTCTGGTGG